TAGGAACTCGAAGGCGACGCATCATGAAAGGTGCTGCTAATGAAATGTTTCCCGAGACCAGGATGTTCTCAGAGGTTCCAAGCCCATTTACACTTGTGCCTCCAAAGTCAGTGGTGGGGCAATGTGAATACTCAAGCCGGCAAGAAATTCTCTCTCATATTTGCAGATTTCATCAAAGAGGGTAGTTACTAACCTCAATACATCTGCAATGCAGATGAAACCATGCCTAAAAGATGCCTAAGAGTTTATCAGCAAGGAGTTTTAAAGCTTTCAAGAACTAATTTTTACTCCCTTTTTGTGGAATGTGTCTGGGGATTACAAATATAATCTTCTCTTAGTTACTTTGGATTTAAGAACAAAAGCATTTACAAATAAACTTTTGGAACTTAAAAGTTAAGGGACATCTGCATTGCCTCTCATTTACTGAGCAGTGGTTAAAACACTAGGCTGCTAACTGAAAGGCTGGTGGTTGGAACCCACTAGCTGCTCCACAGGAGAAAGATGTGGCAGTCTGCGTCCGTGAAGATTACAGCCTTGGAAACCTATGGGGGCAGTTTTATTCTGTCCTATAGGGTCGCTAAAAGTCAGAATCCACTCCATGGCAACGGGTTTGGTTTGGTGGGTTTTTGTTTTGGTTCTTCTTTGCCACCCTCCCCCAAGCCTTTAGATGCCAAGTGTCATCCTAAATGTCTTGTCAGTAGCACTTCACTTACTCTTTACAACAACTCTAGGAGTCATGCACAATTATTTTCATTTTGCAAAGGAAAAAGGGGGCCTTGGAATAGAACTGGATTGGCAGGGTGGGTTTCATCCTTCATGCCAATATTGACTGACTGGCCCTCGCAGCCTAGAGAAGGCCTAGAATGATGCAGAATGCAAAAGAAGGCAAGGTGGGGCTGGAAGAGATAATCGACACTTGCAAGTTCTGTGAGAGCCCTTCTTAGTTTTGCATCATCTGATACAATAATTTAAGTTCCAAATATTTGGAATATTCCTTTTTCTAATCTCTTTTTAGTACTGACCTGACCTGCTCAGACTGAATAACTAACTCATCTATGAGGCTTTTCCCCACTCAGAAGAAAGTCCGTACTCCTTTCTATAGACTTCCACTATTTAAAATATTTATTATGTCTGAATCACATTCTATCTAGCAATGTCATCTTTTCATTATAATCACAAGTTTTCTAACAGTAGAGAGTATCTTGTTCATTTTTTAAATCCCTCTCAACGATGCTTTACACATACTGCTTGTTCAATAAATATCTTCTGAACTGAATCTAGTTAGTTATCTGTCAAGGTGATAATAGGTACAATTTTAGGAAGCATTTTAACTTGAATCAAATATTATAATGTACTATACAAGTAAACTGCAGTTAAAATCTAACTAAAAATCGTTATTAATCTAATAGCTTTTTCCTTAGAAAAAGCTAATATTATTTTTAAGATTACAAAACGGTTATCTTACATTAATTAGGTCTGCTGCTACTTGCCAACAGATAATACTTATAAGAAAGAGTAAATATTTCCTGAGAGCAGCTTGCCTTGAAAGCAATGCATTTCAAGTCTGGGTATGGTCCTCTGTTCAAACATAATCTGGTCAAAGTCCATTTCAGTTTGGCCAAAGCAAAGGTTTGGGAAAAATATATTAATTACAAGGACGGACAAGTTGATCCAAAGTTGTCAAAAATTTAAACTAGCTTCAGTGTTAGCATTTTTACAATATCTTATGGCTCCTTTCTAGTTTTATCTCAGTATATCTGAAGGTCTCTACAGCTATATTCTTTAACAAACAGCACCCAATTTTATTATATTTTTTGATAGCCACTGGAGTTAGGGCGTCCAAAATTCTCCAGAGCAGACACTGAAAAAAACATTGAGATAAAAATAGTGAGGAAAAAAAGGGACTAGTGTGGGACTGAAAACATAACTAATATACTTCCAGCTACCTTTAACTTGAAATTAAGATTTTCCTCTATGGATGGTAAAATTCAGAAAACAAAGGCCAAAAATATCAGGAGGGATAAATGAACCTTAATGTTGACCAAAATTTCCAAATGAGCCCCAACACATTATTTAATATACACCTAAATTTTAGGAAATTATATTTGCGCTCACAAATTGCTAACCAAAAGGTCGGCAGTTCGAACCCACCAGCTGCTCCTTGGAAACCCTATGGGGCAGTTCTGTTCTGTCCTATAGGGCTGCTATGAGTTGGAATTGACTCCAAGGCAATGGGTTTTGGTTTGGTTATGAAAGCACAGGGGACAGCTAATGCTGGACACTGCAGGGACGTCAAAGACTCAAAACAGGCCATTGTTTTTGACAAATTGGGGTAATCGCCCACATTCTGAGGAAGATAATTTTAAAATGATCAAGGCCAGGAAATCACGTAATAACACTGACTACTATTAAGAAAGTAAAACTGCAGGGCTACTCTTACAATACACTGGAGGCCCCTTGAGAGGACGGAGCACTGAACGTCTGCAGGCTGAGGCGGGGTCAACAGGAGTCTCCTAACAACCAAAAGCAACAACCACAGGCTGAGGCGAAGTCACCTGAAGGGACACTGAAGAGAAGTGCACGACGTCGTGTTAACGGAGTGGAGTTAGGAAGAAAACGGAGGGGAAAGGGGAGCCAGTGTTCAGCCAGAAAGGGCAGCACGGGAGAGCAGTCTCCTTACTCTCTGAGGCAGAAAGGAAAGCAACAGGGATGGGTATACAGGCAAAGGTGAGCTGATGTTTCCATTTTTTTCTGTTAGAAAAAATGAGAAATGCTAATCTGATTACCGTTAGAAAAAATGAGGAATGTTAATCTGATTAAGAAGAGGGTAGGAATAAAGAGTTGCTTGTCAAGACACGAAAAGGACAGGCTTTGGAGACACATCCTGGTTTGAATCCTGGCTCTGCCGTTTCCTAGCACTGTGACCTGAGGTAAGTCATTTAGCCTCTCTCAGAGCTTCAGTATTTCCTTCCATAAAAATGGGATACAAAGTCTCAACTTCACAAGTTGTTGGAAAGACTAAATTCAAATAAGACAATGTATTTAAAATGCATCATATAGGTCTTTGTACATAACAATTACTTAATAAGTATAATTATTAACAACAAGAAAAACAAAATGGCAATGTTTTGAGACTGTTTCTTTGGAAAATAAGAAAGGGTGCTAACAACGGCAAAAATAACAATTTTGAATAAATTTTAGTCCACCTGAAAACTACTAGTTTAAGATTGATAAGATCCTAAAATACCAGTATAAATGTAATGCAACAGTTCTAGCAATTTAGAGTGCAAATATTTTATGACAGAAAAAACTATTCTGACTGAAGCTGATGGAATCTCTAAGAAAAACGACAGTACTTTCAGGTACCCTAGGCAACGGTGGTTTATTAGTTATAATAACTGTAAGAGATTGAGGAGATTTCTCTCCTAGGTTTATGAACCCTGAAGTCTGAAATAACCCAAAGTGAAGACAGAGGGAAAACTGACGCTGGCTGGAGAGCTCCCAGCAGATGAGGGTGAGAGTTCACAGAAGGGTGACTGTGAGCGAAGGCCAGGCTGGTTCCAAGGCTTGTAGGACCTTTAAACCAGTCCTTGGAACTCACACTTTTAAATACGCAGGAAAGACATCAACCACTTACAAACCTAGTTAAGCTTCTCCGTTTTACATATAACCTTAGGTTTAATAAGGGCTAAGCTACAAACTTGCCCCTTTGTTCTCCCCAAACAATACTGTACAGTCAGTTACTTTACTAGGTATTACAAACCGAATGTTAGGTTTTTCATGCTATTAGTAAATTAACAGTTTAAAAACTAGTTATTACAGAGCATTTCTATGTTTGCACCTTCTCCATATACATACAGTTCACATAAATCCTACATGACTAGACTGTTTTATCACAACTACTCAAATCCCTTCACCTACTGACAGCACCTAATGGCAAAGAAATCAAGGACTTTTCCTTGTGCTTAATTTTAATGAATTGAAAAACATAATTATAAAATTCCCAAGGTAGGGATTATCCAAATACTGATCATTCTGATAATAAGTATATAACAAATAGCAGAAAAGAATACACTAAATAACATCAATCTCTAACTTTTAAAAAAATAACTAAGAAATGAGATGCAAGAAAGAGTATTTACTGGTTAGGTACTTTTTTATAGTAGCTGCATCGGGTCTGGGGTCACTCTTCATTGCAATGTAAACTGCTAGGCCTGTCTGATCTATATGAGAAATAACAGCATTTGCAGCTTCAACAATTTCGTTAAGTCTTTTCATTCTTTCCTAGGGAGAAAAAAAAAGAAGAAATAAGAAAACCAAACTGATACATCAATCAGTATACCAGTGTATTTTCATTCTTGTCATTTCAACAATAAGGGTTGCAAACCCCGCAGAAGTGGACGATGGAATCTACCTGCAGCCTGGGGGTTCTGGTTATCTCCTATCTGATTCTCCTAATTGTCAGCATCTCTAGAAAACTTCAGCTCAGACATAAACACACCTAATTTACATTTCCTGTTAGTGATAAACGGTGAGACAACAAGTGGAATATAATGCTCATAAAAATACCAACTGTTTTTTCAACTCTTTTGCTCATTTAAGAACAAATTTTAGAAGTGTGGCTAGCTATGTCACTCCAATCCTACATCACATAAAAACAGAAGTACAAAATACAACTAGCTGATGAAGGAAGTGAACTCTTTCTAATTCATCATTAAAACTCAAAAATACCAGTAAGTAAGATTATAATAAATTCTGTAACAACAATTACAATGGTGTTCTCAGTAATTTGCTACTCTCGTGTTAAAATCTTTAAAAAGTTCTCCTTTAAACATCCTGTATTCACTCTAAACCCTGGATAATTTTTAACTGATGACAGCTAGCACTTTCCTACTGCCATGATCAATAACAAGAGCTAGTCTACCTTAAGGCTGTCTAGAACTACGGTTAATTCCTAAAAGTGAGAGTCAGTAACAAAATTACCGTACAACAGGAATTCTTTTTGCACTGAAGATGTCCAGATTTGCAACTGGCCGGGACCACTGCCTCCAGCTCCTCATAAGGTCACTCTTTAGCTTAAGGTCACAAAAGCAATCTTTACAGTATCTTATCTACTACTACTTCCGCTGACCAAACGTGAGCATGAATCCTAAACTAAATTCAAGAGTAGTGGCCAGGTTTTACAATTAGCTTAACGAAAAGAGTTTAATAAACATTCAGTTTAAGGAAACACATTTCCCATCAGCAAGAACAGAAGACAAATATATTTTATTCAAAATA